CACCCCCAGGGGACGTGGGGTGCCCGGGGGTGACACTTCTGGGGGACAATACCCCCAGGGGACGTGGGGCGTCAGGGGTACACCACCCCCAGGGGATGTGGGGTGCCCAGGGGTGACACTTTTGGGGGACAACACCCCCAGGGGACACGGGGCACCAGGGGATGACACCCCCTGGGGACGCAGGGCGATGACACCCCCAGGGGACGCAGCAGGTGACAATTGGGGGGGGCGTGACACCCCTGAGGCATGGGGGGTGCCAGGGGGTGACACTTTCGAAGCACAACACCCTCAAGGGACATGGGACACCCAGGGGACACCACCCCCAGGAGACATGCAGCGCCAAGAAGTGACACTTCTGGGGGTACACCACCCCCAGGGGACGTGGGGCACCCAGGGGTGACGCTTCCGGGGGACAACAGCCCCAGGGGACCTGGAGCACCCGGGGTACACCACCCCCAGGGGACGTGGGGCGCCCAGGGGTGACACTTCCGGGGGACAACAGCCCCAGGGGACACAGGGCACCTGGAGGTGACGCTTCTGGGGGACAACACACCCACGGGACGTGGGGCACCTGGGGGACACCACCCCCAGGGGACATGGGGTGCCGGGGGTGACACCCCCGCAAGACTCAGCAGATGACACTGACAGAGGGGGCGTGACACCTCCAGGGAATGCAGGGCGCCAGGGGGTGACACTTTCAGGGGACACCACCCCCAGGGGACATCGGGCACCCAGGGGTGACACCCCCAGAGGACAACTCCCTCAGGGGACGTGGGGCGCCAGGGAGTGGCACCTCCAGGGGACGACACCCCCAGGGAACACAGGGTGCCAAGGGATGACATCCTCGGGGGACGCGGAGTGCCAGCGGGTGACACGCCCGGGGGATGCAGGGCGCCAGGGGGTGAACCCACCCCCCCAGGGGATGACACCCCCAGGGAACACGGAGCTATGGGGGGTGACACTTCCAGAGGGGTGACAACCCCAGGGAATGCAGGGTGCCGGGGGGAG